TAAACAACCAATAGGCCAAAAATGAAACCATAATGACAATTACAAAATTTCTTGAGTCGAATGCAAATGAAAACATAACAAATTCTATGAATACAGCCGTGATAAAAGGAAAATTTATATAACTACAAATTCCTATATCGATAAAGAAGGTCTCAAAACAACAGTCTCAATTTACACATTGGGAAATCAACTCACAAAACAAGACAAAACAAATGGTAGTGATCAGAGTGGAAACAAACAATAGAACTAGAAAAATGTTAGAAGAAACCATCAACAGAACAAAGAGTATGCTCTTTAGAAAGATCAGGAAAATTGATAAGTATTTAAGTAGACTGACTGAAAACAAAAGGGAGGCTCAACCAAAATGGAGGATGAGACGTTACTTCTGGTTTTATAGCAATGGGATTATAAGAGGAATTGATGTGAACACATTAAATAACTGAGATGAAATGAGCAAATTTCTCAAAACACAGAAGTACCAGACTGAATAAGGAAGACATAGAAAATCTTAATATTGAAAATGAGCAAAGGATTTGTGAATTAGTAATCAAAAGCTACCAACAAGTTTAAAGTCTAAGACCAGATGGCTTCCTTGTATGCTGCCAAAGGTTATGTTTTGTTTGAGAGAGGGTCTCACTCTGCATATGTGGTTGGCCTGAAACTTACCACATAGACCAGGCTAGCCTCAAACCACACAGATTCACCAGACTCTACCTTTTGAGTTCTAGGATTAAAAGCATATGTCACCAGGCCCAGTACCACACATTTAAAGTAGAGGTGACAGCAACATTCTTGTGTCCCTTCACTGCACCAACACTTGAAGAGGTAAAAGCAATTCAAATGTATTCTGTGAGGTCAGCAGCATCGTCCAGATAGAACACCAGACAAAGAGACTATCAGAAAAGAAAATGATAGACCAATATCACTGACAAATGTTTAGGAAAAAAATTCTCAAGTACAAGCAGACAGCATTTACAGGATTGAACAACACAGCATGGAAGACTATGCCCCACAACAGAGTAGGATATATTCTTGGTTGCAAGGGTAACTTAATATGTGAAAATAAACCAGACCAGCATAATATACTATAGCAACAAAAGGCAAAGAAATAATTCAAGATCATCTCCACTAATGTAAAAAAAAAATAAAAATAAAAGCCCTTGGCAAAATTTAACACTCTTTTATGATAAAAATTGAAGAAAACTGCTTTAATGTACCAAAGATTACATATGAAAAGCACAGTCAGGCATTGGTGGCGCACGCCTTTAATCTCAGCACTCGGGAGGCAGAGGCAGGCGGATCTCTGTGAGTTTGAGGCGTGCTTGGTGTCCAAAGCAAGTTCCAGGGTAAGTTCCAAAGCTACACAGAGAAACCCTGTCTCGAAAAAAAAAAAAAGGAAAGAAAAAGAAAGAAAAGCACAAGGGTAACATGTCAGTGACGAAAGATGGCCTGGAATGGGATATAGTTGCCTGCTTTCAATAGTTTGGTTCAACATATCACTCAAAGATCAACCCAGAGCAATTAGGCAAAATGAAGAGATAAATGGCATCCATATGGAAAAGGAAGAAAAAGAGTTGCCTTCTTCTCACAGCTAATCTGATTTATATATAGGGAAAGAACAAAACCCAAATGTTTTACATATATACATACATACATACACACACACACACACACATGCACGCACACACGCACACATAGATGCACATGCATATGTATGCACATAAGCAAAAACACATACACATAATGCACACATGTGCACATACAGGCACACACATATACACAAGAAAGGTAGGTGCATGCACATACACACATGCTATAATCTCTAAGTAACAGACACGTGCAGCAAAGCTGAAGATACAACAAGCAAAAATCAGTTGTCCTATGCATTAGTAATGAGCTGTATAAAAGGTAAACAGTAAAAACAGGTTCCATTCCTAACAGCATATCAAAGAATGAAAGATTAGTTTAAGGAGTTTAATGACTTGTATCCTGTGAGTTTTGACCTGTTCTGCTTCTGACCTGGGTTGGTTCATTCCTCCTTAGATAACCTGGTGTCTCCCACTCTCAGGAAGTCATCACATTGGTGTTGAAGTTAGTGTGGACACCTGATCACCATGAAGCACTATGATCCCAAACTTCTAGACTCAAGTGATCCTTCTGCCTCAGCCTCCCAAGTAGCTGGAACTCTAGGCATGAACCATCCTTATAATACATTGCTCAAAGAGTATAAAGAAGATAGAAAAGAAATTCATCGTATGTTTATAGATTTAATATGAAGATGCTAATATTATTCAAAATAGTCTACAGAGTCAATGTGGTTCTTCTCAAAATATCAATAATAATCTTGAATAAAAATATATCCTGAAATTCATTTAAAATCACAAGGAACAACTGGTAGCCAAAACAATCTTGAAAAAATGAACAATGTTGGGGATCTCACATTTCTCAATTTCAAATCTATCACAAAATAGACTTTAAGCAGTGTGACATGAGAATAAAAACAGGCATATGCACCAACAAAACACAGTACAGAACCAAGAGAGTAAACCCACACCAAAGTGTATGGTCAAATTATTTTGGCAAGCATGCCAAGACCATTTTATTTTGAATTTTTTAAATAAAACTTCTTGGTTATAATGAACTCACAAATAAAAGAATCACATGGTTAAGGCAGTCACTCAAGCACTTGTCTTAGCTCAGCTCAGCGGACTCTGTCCTATACAGATGGACAGCTACTCTGAAGCCATGGGGCTCTGCGGATTGTTTGACACTTCACTATCAGCCATATTTGTATTCACTTATTCACCACAAAAAGGAAAAAAAGTACTATGAAAGAGTTGAATTATATTTATATTTTCATGTCCCCTTGAGTGATTAATTTGTCTTTTCTTTTTTGCCTCCATTCTGCCCTTCCTCATCATCCAATTTATACTAGTTTAAAGAGTGATCAACATCCCTAGTCATCCAGGAAATGCAAATCAAAAATACTTTGAGATACCATCTCATTCCAGTCAAGATGGCTATCATCAAGAAATCTGAATGAAGTTTGGAGAGGATGTGGTGAAATAGAATCTTTTATTCACCACTAGTGGGAGCACAGATTCATACGGCCTTTATGGAAATCAGTTTGGAGTTTCCTCAAATTAAAGATAGCACTACTATGTAAGTCAGCTATTGTTCTATTCCTAGGCATATACCAAGACCATCTGAGGAAGAAAGAACAGTATCTTTAACAAGTGGTGCTGGGAAAACTGCATTTCTATATGCAAAGAGTCAGTTTGGATAACATCATGTCCTGTGGTGCTAGAGAGATGCCCACCCAGCAGGTAAAAGCACTTGCTGTCAAACATGAGTTTCAAAGTTCTGATGTCAGTACCCATGTAGCAAGCTATGTTTCAGGCATACAGAAATAAACAGATAAATACATCTTTAAAAATTACATGCTTACATCCTTAAATAGCATCATAGTCAATAATTAACTCTGAAACACACAACAAAACTAAACCATACAGTCCTTAGAAGAAAACAAAGATAATGGCATCATGCTAGTGAATTAATATATTCTTGACTATAATATCCAATGCATAGGCAATGAAAGAAAAAATTAAAACAGATGAATAGTTTAGGACTATACCAAGCTATAAAGCTTCTTTGTATCAAAGAACACAGTCAGCAAAGTAAAACTTCAACAGGGACATATGGAGGAAATATTCCAACTCATATCTCTGATAAGGAGTTAATATCCCCAATACATAAAGAACTCCTAAAAGAGCAACAACAAAATGGACTATCTGATTTTAAAAAAAAAAAGAGCAAGGGATTTGAATAGATTATCCCCAAAGAGAATCACACCAAAAGATGATTAAGGCTCAAATGAAATGTCACTTCCCACCCACTAAAACAAAACAGATGTTGACAAATTAAGGAAATAAAGAAATCCTGTGCCTTCCTTGTTTGAATGTAAAATTAGTGCAGATATTGCAGAAAACATTAAGATAGTTCCTTAAAGAATTAAAGATCAGATTATAATATGATCTAGAAATTTCGGTACAGACTCAAAGTCTAAAAAGTAAGATCTTACCATGTGCCCTGGCCCTATGACAGAGAAGTCATTCTGGAACTGAGCTGGAAGCTTCCTCTGCCTGGCTAGCCCTCAAATTGATGGAAAGTGCTATGCAGATGCTGGGAGAGAATTGCCATTAATAGTTCACTCAGCTACTCAGCTATGAACCCTTCAGTGCAATAATAACTATTGTCCATGCAAGATACACACACAAGTGCAATAATGGCAAGTCTATTTGAAGAGTAACCAACCCGCTTTCTGATAGGATTTGAAGCCTACTGCACAGGAGGTAATTAATATCTGGTACTATAAACCCAGCCAAAAGCCTATGGCTGGGAAGGTCACAGTCCCTAGTGAGGAGGCTACTGCTGTTGCTTTGCTAACTGGGCATGACATGGCTGTCAAACTGTCCTCTATGTTTATGACAGTAGATCAGTGTTGTCAGCTTCAACCAGAAAAGCTTCTTCTTGCAGTGGCCAGCAGTAACTGCAGAGACACACAACTGATCAAGTGTTTAGAATAAGTAACTGCTGAATGCTCACCTGTAAACGGGGCATCCATATTACCCCTCCCCAATGCACACACAACTCTGGACATATCACAAAAGAGGTGGGAAGAATGGAAGCTGATGGAAGCAGTGTGTGGTGTGGAATGCTGACTACTTGGCATCGCATGACTGCTGTACTCTTGAAGTTACAGATGCTGCACAAGGCCAGCACCAGAGTAGACTTGGCAAAGTCCTGTCATGGAATGGAGAGAGACTCCTGAGGCCCTTTCCATCTCTGAGAATTTATACATTATTAATGTTTGATGGGGAAATACTTTCTTCAATTGCATAGCTTCTAGTAAGGTGTCCATGTTACTTTAAACAAACCTTCCTCATTTTCCCATAGTAACCATAATGAAATTGAGTAATAAAAAAATTTTTCACAACCCTTCCTCATTTTCCCATAGTAACCATAATGAAATTGAGTAATAAAAAAAAAGAGATGAAATACAAGTGAGGGGCTAGTTAAGAAAAAGGGATCAGAGGAAGAGGGAAACAAGAAGGTAAGAATAAATAGGATCAAAATACATTGTGTACATGTATAAAAATGTCACAGTGAAACTCATTATTATGTATAATTGATAAATGCTAATAAGACATTAAAAAGCAGCATCTCAAAGAGCATTTGCACCCAAGTTCATAGTGGAATTACCACAGTACAAACACAGAAGAAACCCAAATTATCTGTTGACAGATGAAAACACAGGTGAAATGTAATTCATAAATAAAATAGGGCGTTATTCAGCCTTTCAAAATAAGACAGGATATTTTGGTATATACTACATAAACCTTTGATGACATAATGCTAAGTGAAATAAGTCAGTTGGAAAAGACAAATACTAACAATTATACTTATATGAGCCATTTAATTAGTCAAACTCATAGAAAACAAAAGGTTAGTGGACAGGGTATGGGAAGAAAAGGAACCAGAGAGCTATTATTTAATGGGTGTAGAACTTGAGTTTTACAAGACGAAAAGAGCCATGGGAATAAGTGGTGGTGTTAGTCCTATCACACTGTGGATATATTTAATACCTCTGAACTACACACCTCAGAATGGTTTCAATGATACATAAATTTCATGCTCATTGCAAGTAATACATTTAAAATTAAAAATAAATATTTGATATGCTAAGATGAGTAGAAACCCTTGCATGTAAAAGTAACATTTCAACCTAATGATTGGGGTTTTATTTTACTATGATAAATACCTGAAAACAACACAAACCCTTTTTTGAACAAAGTCTAATTATATTCAAACAAATGCTTTTTAGTTGCTTAAATTATCTCTCTACTCATCACTTTTGGGAGAGTACTTATATAACTTTTGCCTACTGAAAAAGAATAAAAAATAGTTAAAATACAGTTTTGAGGGGCACACACATATATGCACACATGCATACATACATACATACATACATACATACACACACACACACACACACACACACACACACACACACACACACTTAAATTTCTGATTCCATAGCTCATTGAGTTCCCTGATTTGTACATATACAAATACTGAATAAGTTATTAGTCAAAATTTCTGGGCTATGGGCTGGTGAGATGGCCCAACAGATAAAGGTATTTATCACCAAGCCTGATGACATGCATTTGATATCTGGGACCTGGATGGTAAAGAGAATGACCTCCTAAAGACTGTCATCTGGCCTCCATATATACACCATGGCATGTATATGCACCACCCCCAAATAAATCAATGTAATTAAAAATCTGGGTTCTAAATAAGCTACTTCTTCCCATTATGTTACTGTTTACCTTATTTAATTCTTATGTTAATGAAAACTTTTGTCAGTGTGATGTGTATGTGAGAATTCTGATGGGTAAAAGCTGATATGAATGAAAATATGAGTCAATCATCATAACCACATATCATATAAGGATACCATCTCCAGTGATTTGGATGAAAGGAAGCACTGTACTCTGAGGACAAATTATGTTCAGGTAAGTTACACATAAAAACTTAGTGTCATTTTGAGACTCTGATATATAATATTCACTTAGAAAGCCAGGATTAGCCAATCTCTGCAGTGTAATCTGACAGAAGCCTGAAACATGAAATCATCTTTGGCTTCCACATTCTAAAAATGTTTATAACCTTTCAAAACCAGACCCTATTACACTTTGACTACAATACAGAAATCTCTTTCCCCCACTGCAGTACAGCTGTAAGAACAGATTCCCAAGAGAAATGAGGACTGGTTTCTAGTGACTTTGGAGACTGATTTCTGGGAAATTTTCTGATTTGAGCTGCCATTCTCAGAGAAAGGAAAATCTAGGTGACCTTATTCCAGTCATTGCAATAGGTGAAGGTGTGTCTTCATCTGGAGGTGAAGCAGCAAAGGGGCCTGAGGTAACTTCAACAATTATGGTATTGACATCCGCGGCAGAAGTTATATTCTGAGACCGAAGTTGTTCGATGTCACCTGGAGAGTAATTTTTACTGTGTCTCTGAGACCTGTGATGAAGGGCATCTTCCGAATCCGTATGTAGTTGGCCATTCTCTGGGCCATCAGCAACTGATATATTTGTTTGACTGGAAGAAGAAAGAACAGTTGGAAGAGAAAAGCGGGATGCCATTAGGCTTGGTAGGTAAGATGTTCTCTCAATAGTCCATTGGCCTGGAGAAACGGCTTTTGTTTCCAAATTTGGAAAGCGTTTATTGCCACGTTCGGAATTAGAGAAGCATATATTTTTTTGAGCATCAATATTAGTTGACTTATTAGGAAAGCCTTTAATTTCGTTTGCACAAGGCAAGTTCAGACTGCCTTGTGGAGGATCATAGAGAATGCTATTCCTGTAACAGGAAACTACACTTAGCTTGCGGGATGAAAAATATCGTCGAGATGTAATGGCACTAAAGAAACCTGAGGATCTTGTGGCATTGGAAGTTATGTCTTCCTGAGAATCAAAGTTAACTCTACTTGGCTGTCTCCATCTCCTTTGAAGTCTTGTCAGTAAGGTGTGTATTCCTCTAGAGCCAAATAAGTGATTAGATGCACTTGAGCAACAAGAGAATTTTCTACTTATCTTACATGTTGAAGAAGGACGACATGTTATGAAACTCAGAGCTACTTTTGGTTGTAAAATACAAGAGGATCCATGATGCTCGTGTTGTGGAGGAACTAGATCTTCAGGATAATTTTGTTGGGAGCGTGGGTCCTCTTTCCAGCAGCTAGAGCGAAAAAAAGGCCAAATGAGGAAGAAAAAGCAAACACAGAGCTGAATGGAGACCTATCAAGTCTCCTGGAGAGTAATTTCTACCATACCAATGGGAAACAACAGTTAATTAGAAAATGGGTTGGCTAAGATTAATGGCATACAGATATACCCCAAAGAATATGTAGATAGGTAGATTATCTCCCTACGAGAGTCTGCCCCCTCTGTTAAAGCTCAGGGGTGGGGAGAGTGAAGGACTTGGGGAGGTAGACAGAAGGAAAGAAAAATGAAGGGAAACATAAAATGACATCATGCATAAGTTCCCAGAGAGTTAGAACTCCCCCATCTCCTACCAGACTATCATATTTAAGGGAATTAACTAATATAAACCCACATCCCATTGACTAATTACATTTTAACATATCTGCCATGGAAGAAGCAAAAATCTTTCTGGGGTTTGAGGATACTTCAGCTAAACACACAGATTTCCAGTTACTGTGGGAACCCAACAGCAGCACTACACTGGGTTTCTGAATACTTTCAGTGTTCTTCAGCACACAAAACATGAAACACCTGAAGTGTTTTTTTGTTTTATTTTGCTTTGTCTTTGAGGCATACCTTAAGCATTTTCCCATACTGAATTTAATCCAAAGCAAGTCTTTCCCTTCTAGGCCATCATTCATAAGACGTAAAATGCCCTGTGTAGGTGGAACAGGTCAGGAAACTGAATACTTAAACTGCATGTGGGACTACCATGACAACAGCATAGTCTGTGATGGTGGGAGACTCTAGAACCTAATGACAGAGCTGTCAGGAGACTGAATACTTAAGATGCACGTGGAACTACCACAGCACCAACACAGAATGTGATGGCGGCAGACTCTAGAACCTAATGACACTGGTTTACAATAAAACTGCGCTGTGGCTCTCCTTTCTGAAGAGCTGAAGTTTCTATGGCTATGGGATGTGTATTCCGATTTCTTTATGTTCAAGGAGTCAGCTGACAAATCAAGAGGTAAAAATGTAGCTGAATGAAGGCGATAACACATACAATCTCTGCATAGTTCTTTCCTTGGGATGGAAATCTTATACATACTTGGTCTCTTAATCCTTCTTTCTATCACTTGAATATTCTTTGTTCAATGTCTTTACATCCAGTGAAGTGGTAAGGTGACACCTAAACATTTGTACTGATGATGTACAAATCGGGGAAGAGACATTTAAAAAGCAGCAAATGTTTATTCACAATGGCAGGGAAGCATAGCACTCTGATGTCTGGCTCATAGGCATAGACTAAGGAGATCTGCTATGTTTATTATTCTTTGAACAACTTATACCCATTAACAGTAAGTTTAGCAGAGTTACAAGAAAAGAGCTCTTTCCTTATCTCAGTTTAGAGTATTGTCTCTAAAGTATGTATATATCTCTCACAAATACTTTTATTTGCTGCACAATGTCCTTCTATACTCTAACACCTCCTTTAGTCACTGTTCCCTTCTTAAGACTCTGCTCCAGAAAACCCTTCAACAGATTCCTTACAAGAGGCCTACAGTTCTCAGTTTCCAACACAGAATTATTAGTTCTGTGATGTGATTTTATTCTACATGCAATCAAATCGGTTAACCTCTTACAGAAGACATGGAATTCCTAGGTCAGCAACAAGAGACATCAGACTCTTGACAGAGCAAACAGTCTAATAGCCAGAATCTTTGGGCTGGCCTTTCTTGGCCCACTGCCCTAGGGCAATGCAGAGGGCCCCAAGACACCTGTATTTGCCACAGATTATGTTACAGGAAGGGACATAGCTCAAGTAACCCACTATCTTTACTCTACTTGCCACCTGTTTTTGAAAAAAAAAAAAACCAAAAAAAAAAAAAAAAAAAAAAAATTTTTTAGAGTCACAATCTTACCCATGTTGTCAGCGGTTACTTTCACACTCCAGTGGCAGAACTTGGGAGATGAGTAGACCCTTTATGTCTTCAATTCCTAAAATTTTTGCAGAAAAAAATCCCTGCCCCTATTTTAGTGCATTTGATACATTTAATCCTTTCCTTTATGGTGCCAGGGCCTTACAATTGCTAGGCAGGGGCTTCACTAACACTAAGCTGCTTTCCCAGGTCAACTTCCCTTCTAACTGATAAAAAAATTGCTATTTTACCAAATTCATTTTGGATTAGACAGGGAGCAAAGCACCTGCCTGCATTACCTCAACTAAGGCTAAAAAAACAAGATACATATATTATTAACCACATTTTTTTGTTTGTTTGTTTTTCAAGACAGGGTTCCCCTGTGGCTTTGGAGGCTGTCCTGGAACTAGCTCTTGTAGACCAGGCTGGTCTCAAACTCACAGAGATCTGCCTGCCTCTGCCTCCCGAGTGCTGGGATTAAAGGCATGCGCCACCACCGCCAGCCATTAACCACATTTTAATTAAAGCAATTTCACTTGTTATTATATGTTTGTCTGGGGGTGGGGGTGTGCAAGTCATGACATCATGGCATGCATGTGGAGGTCACAGGACAGCTTTTGGGAGTCAGTTCTCTCCTTCCACCTGGGTTCTGGGATTGAACACAGGTTGTCAGGCTTGTGTGGCAAAGGCTCTTACCCTCTGAGCCATCTCACTAGCCTCAGCTACATTTTAAGAAAAGAATTCAGGTTTGGGGAACTGAGGCCATCTCTGTAGTCAAAGCTGAGCCAGGATGCATACTTGGGTTGGAATGACGAAAGCACAGGGCCACTGCTTCTCTGGAAACCTCAGTCTTCCTCAGCTTTTCTGTTCTCTGCTTTGTTCTGGGATGGGTTGTTTGTTTTTGTTCTCCAAGCTCAACACATACTTGTCTCACTTTTCAGTGTCCTTTGCAGACTCATTCGCCTCCACCCATTCCAGTAGTACTGGTGCCACAATACACAGTTACTGGAGCAACAACACCCATTCCTACAGAATCTGGCCTTTGCAAGCATACTAGTGGGATGTCAACAATGGAATAACTTCTCATCTCTGCAGCAGTCTCCTTTCACAGCTGCAGGTGACTGAGTGCTCACCTGGGCAATGGCTTCAACCCCTCAGTATGTCCTTGTCCTTGCCAGGAGGGCCACCACCTGATTACACAGGATGCCAAGCACTTGAAAGGTTTTGTGTGGTTCTTCACCTTTGGGGCTCTGGTTAAAATGACTAAAAGTGTTCCTCTTCAACATCCTGCTTCATCTTAAAAAATAGTGGTTGCATTGACGAGACTTTTGTTCTCGCCTGTGCCCCCAGAGTTCAGACAGTGCCTGGTACAGAGTAGACACACAGTCAGTGAATAAGAGGGACTTCAGCTGTATTCCTATTGTTTTCTTTCTAGTCCTCTCACCTCTCCCTCTCTCTCCCGACCCCCTTCATGGAAGTGAAGATCTATTTGCAAACATATTATGAGAATATGTTCAACATTACTAATATTCGGGGAAACAGAAAATTGAAAATTATTAGTTAACATTTCATCTTCATAAATTTTGTCTAAATTCTGAAGACTGACACTACAAGTATTAATATGGAACACTAAGTATTCTCAAACAGTCAGGTTTGTGAACCGGAAGTACTTTAAAGACTTATTAATATGCATGTGAGACTTACTATATACATATAAGCAATACACACAGTCTCTAAGTCAGCACTTCAAACACATGCTTTCCAGAACTTCTTCCACATATGCCTAAGGAATTATGAGGGCATTCACGAAGCATTATTTATGGGAGCAAACAAATGGTGACCTAAAAATTCACTAATAAGGCATACTTATATCCTGCTGTGGGATATTTTGATTGCACTCTGACACTCCCGAGACTGCCAATAAAGTTTACCTTGAATCAGAGGGTGGATATAGCTACTAGGTGACCAGAATTAGCCATAGAGGTTTTGGAGCACCCAGGACATATAGAGAGACATGGGAAGTAGAAGGGAGGGGCTTAGAAAGATTGATGAGCCTTTTTGGAACAAGGAAGGAGAAAGAGAGGTCACTGGTTGCTTCTCCAGTTTCTCTGATCAATCACATTTTTACTCTGATAGCTGACTCTTGAGTTTTATTTAATAATAGAACAATATAAGTATCAATATCCCATCAATGGAATGCAGTACCACATTTAAAAAAGAAACATGTTTACACTCATCAACATGGAAAAGCCTCAAAACAGAAAAAGCATTAAAGCAAAACATCTACAAAAACAATGCATCACATAATGCCATTTCTGTAAAATTTAGGAAAAAAACACCACTTCAACATACATGTAGAAGAAACACTGAAACTGTCAAAGATTGCATGCACATTAAGGTAATGACTGTCTCCTAAAGAAAAGATTTCAATTGCAATGTTAAATTTTTAATAGACCTGAAAAAATCATTTTCTAACTATAAAAACTTTGAGGGCTACAAGATCACCACTATCATCAACTTCTGAGTCTTTGTCTGGAAACCTAGATCTGTATTTCAACAGAAAGAAATAACTGTAAGAATAGAAATGACAAAAACAATAACAAACAATCCCCCAAGGCAAGGTCTGTATTTCAGCCCACAGAGTTAAATGGTCTCCTAGGAGACTCCGCAAGCTGGGACCAGTCAGCTGCCCCACCCTCACCATCATTTGGTTATCCTGAGTTAGCACAATCTAACTGGCAGATGCCTTGGACTTGACTGGTTTTCTCCTGGGGTCTCTGAAATGCTTGTGGTGGCTAAAGAGTGACTGGTGGGAAGCTGGTTGAAATCAGGCAAGTTCCAGGGGGAGAGAAAAGGCCTAGGAAGATGGTTTGGTTACAGATATTTATCTACAAAAACATGATTCATCTTTTTGTATCTCATTCAAAAAATAACTTAAATGATTGTTTTTGCTTAAAAAACTTTTTAAAAGTAGTGTTAAATAGGAAAGTTTTCTTCCTGTTTATTTGGTTTAGTGGCATTTCCTATAGTCTAGTCTGTTAGTAGGACTGTATTGAACCTACCCTTGTATGTTACTGCTAACAAAAATACCCATGAACAAGCAAGAAGTACTGTGTCACTGTCTCTGTCTTAAAGTTTGGATACATCCATATTGGTTTGCCATTCATAGTTTTCACAAATATTCCTTGAACCCACATTCACTATACACTTATCCCAATATTTAGAGTTTAATTAAATTTTGTAATTATTTTCTTTTTAATTTGTTCTAAACTGAACAAGGACTGCTTCTCTTTCTAGAATTTTAGACTTTCCTGAGAAAGCAGGCTTAAATTCATTGAGACAGGGTTTTAAGAATACAGGCCACTGACCACTTTAGCTTGTACTCCTGGCTCTAAGAATGTGTCCCGTCTGTGAAGGGACTGCTCAAACCTCACCCAATATTCCTGATGAAAGATGTCCATGTAGGCAGGATAAGCACTGGTTGCTCTTCTGTACCTCTCAGTGATGCTCCATAATGTGGTAGATTTCTGATCACTATTAGAGTACTTAGCTGCTCTTACCCATTCTCAAGAAAATTCCCAGGTCTCTCTTCCGATTCACACTTCCCAGTGTACCTCAGATGCTTTCTAAACACCCCACTTTCTCATTTTAAAACTAGGGCATTTTGTTACTGTTCAGGAATACCAAGTTCTTAGACCTGATCACTTACTCTGGCATCAGTGACTGTTCCCTACCAAAAGAACTTCATAGTCTTTCTCCCAACCATCAAAAAGATGCTTGGCAATTCTGGACCTAGCACTGATGTCTAAGACTTGATTATTACGTTTGTCTTCAGATGACACCTTCTAATTCCACAGAAAGTATGCAGCTCGCTCTCTCAGCTAAGACATTCTTACTGGTACCTACTCTGTAAAAGACACCTTACTCCCCCTCTGAAAGGATGCCAGGAGCTATCACATTCTGTACAGATCCTTAAAAAACAAACAGACAAAAACCTGGCTATTTTGTTCTTCAAAAATATTACCCAAGGCCAATGTTTTAAATTCATAGATTATTGGCTTCCGAACTATGGGAACATTTGTTCTTAGAGCTAAGATTAAAGATATTAATGCATGTAGGGATGAAACAGAATCAGTTATATATCCTCTAAGTTTTCTAGACCTGCAATAAAATTCAGTATCTATTAGTTCCAAGTGTTGCATTTAATTACATGAAATAAAATTATAATTACAATGAGTCAAAATTATAAGTTCCTTTCCTCAGTAGTTCCAGTCCACATTTTAAGTGCTTAAGGGTCACACATGGCTAGTGGCTACTATGTTGGGCAGCACTGATATAGTCAACTTCTAGCATCACAAGAAGTTCTACTGAACCACGTTGGCCTAGGGAGTTTGTATAGAAAAGCCACACAATAATAACATTCTAAAATAGGTTATCCATCCTGGCAAATGATTGTCTTCCCTAACTCTTACATGATGCCACTTACTACTGGTTATTTCTAATAACCACATTAGAAAATAAGTTATCTATTCTGGAAAATAATGATGGCCTTCCTTAACTCTAACGGGATGTCATCTTATGTCTGTCTGTCTGTCTGTCTATCCATCCATCTATCTATCCATCCCTTTAGCCAATGTGATCTAAGCTATCTAAAATATCAGTAATATTTAACATTTTTTATTGTAATCTAAGGCAAAGCAATCATTGCTTTCATTTCCATTCAGAGCAGAGCATATGAGTGAGTTGCTACCTACAAAACAGGAACAGTGTGAGAAGTGATCAGTTAGATGGAAACACCAAGGACACTTACCCTCCTTCACTTTCTGCTTCCTCTGAGCTATTACTTGTTGCTGCACTTTGAACTGTTGTCATCCTTTTTCTTCTAGCTCTGTGCTGAGGACTGATCTTATGAGCTGTTACCTTCCCTCCATGTTCATCTTGTAGATATTCCTCCAGCTTTGGAATCGTTTCTTTCAGAAATTTGATTTCCTCCTTAAGTTCTTCCATGTTGGTCAGTAATTCGTTTAACTTTTCCAGTATCTGAAGTTGCCTTCTTTGAAAGACCACTGATGATCCTTGTTCACTGTGTGTTTCATCTTGCAAAGTTAGTGAATCGAATTTCTTACCCAGGGAAAGAAATTTAGGCAAATTCATTGTTGTCCTTGGTTTACGGACCTTGTGGTACCATAAGGCCAGCAAACTGATTCCAGCAGTTCCCACCATGATGCCAAGGATCAGTTCTTTGTTTGTGGAAGGAGGCATTTCTTGGTTTTTAGTTTCTAAAATTAAAGAAGGAAAAATGTAAATGAACAATGTTTCTCTGTGCAGGATAAAAATATTGATGCTTTTTCAATCTAGAAAAGATAGGCCTTTGTCATCAAAAAGCCTTACAAATCATAAGCTAAACTACATTATGAGTAAGTGCTTTTTTAACTCATACCTCAAGAGAATTATTTGCTTAAGGTGATTACTGAAGTCTAGTGTGAAATACTGACTTTAATTCTGAATTTACACTTTCTAAATCAATCTGAAGTTTATCCCTTAATTATATTTGAAAGGGACTGATAAGTAGGAGCAAAAGTATCATCAGCTTGAGGGAAGTATTTAAGAGTTCAAGTTGTCCAGCTGGGTGGTGATGGTTTTGCCTTTAATCCCAGCACTCGGAGGGAGGCAGAGGCAAGAGGATCTCTGTGAGTTCCAGGCCAGCCTGCTCTACAGAGCAGCGAGTTCCAAGACAGCCAGGGTTACACAGAGAAACCCCATCTGGAAAAACCAAAAGAAAATAAAGAAGAGAAAAATCAAAGGGGAAGAGAGCTGGAAGAAGGGAGGGGTGGGTGGAGGGAGAAGGAGAAGGGTTACCATTGGTTGTGTCCTCAGGAGCCATTTAAACAAGAAAAGGATGAAGTGCCATCTCTAAAATGCTTGAATGGGGGCACCTCTACCAAGTGAAATCTCCATAGTCAGTGAAATGCCTTTCGACACAAAGGCAGAAAGAGGTGGGGCTTTTGTTGTTGGGGTGGTTTAAAATTGGAGACTAGTATCACCAAATGACAAATGCTGAAAGAAATTCTTCAAGCATAAGCAAGACAGAAACAGTTAATGTGCACAAAGGATGCCACATATCAGCAGTGGCAAATATGGGTAAACATAAAAGTCAGTCTTCTCATCTTAATATTTACTTATAAAATGGATTCTATTAAAGCCAAAGTGACAACAACACACTGTAGATTTATAACAGATCAAGAAAGTAAAAGGCAGGACAAGAGTCCAAAGTCTGGGACAGAAAACCAAAAACAAAGATAAACCTGTGTGTGTGTGTGTGTGTGTGTGTGTGTGTGTGTGTGTGGGGTGTGGGGGATTAAAAACAGAACACTAAAGACATTCATTTAGTCCAAAGGAAGGCATACTGGCCTAAGGGATGGGTAAAGAAAAAATAATGAGAAAGAATGCCAGTTATATAGAGAGAAATGGTGGCAAAAGGTCAAGAAAAGCTTTATTTTCCAATACGAAAGATCCAATTAAAAAGTGAAGTTCACAAAGTAGCAGAGAATTGTAAAAACGACAAACAAGAAGGCAAAGGAGATGGTCTCTTGTTCGTAAGTACAAGGTTGACTTTTAATGGGAACACAAACCACTCATTCATAGTAACAAAAGATAAGGCAGATTGCATTAGCAGAAATTCAGGTTAAATGGGTAGACGTAGGAGTTTATGAAAGTTCTCTTTGATTGCTTCTTGTCCAAAACAGCCAGGCATGAAAGCCAGGGCAGAAATACTAGACAGACATCAATCCTGAGTTAGATTGTATATCTATGACTAGAACCTTATTATTGTACATACTCTAGCAAGGCACTATTGTTTCTTGTATACTACATGGCCAATTGGACAAAGTGCTTTAACTGATCTATGTGAAATGACCTATGGAAGGGGGAGGAGACAGCAGGAGTCTATTTCCAAGAAGCTGCTTAAAAGAATATTTCTTTTCAGATTCCTAGTATAGTTTGTTTGTGTTTTTCACTGATTAATAAAAATAGTAGGGCTGGGGGACAGTCGAATAGTACAGCTCTTAACATACATGAGGCCCAGCATGCACTCATTGTCTGTCCCTCCGCCAACCCCACATATACACAATTCATACGCCTATCTTAAAGTCTAGCACAAGGCATTTTCTATGCTGACTTAGTTCTTTGGCCCAGTCCTGCCAGGCCAGCCTTGAACTTTACATTATGAAACACACACATCTGAAAGCTTTTTCATTTAGCAAGTAAATAAACAGAAGTGAAAGTCTGAGAAAGAAAAACCTGTCCCCAGGTTTAAACACATGAGAAACTATCAAACTTTTACCTTTCTTTAGCCAGTTCCAAATTATCTCTTCAGGTTGCAAATTATCTCTTTGAAGGAGTTCAAAACAATAACGCCATTATTATTTTTCAGACAAACTGCTGTCATTTACCCAGAGGGTTTTCTGATTATAGAAGTGAGGAAGGTTACCACTGGGTTCCTGTTTCCTAAATCCTAGGGACATCTAGCTGCATGCAGGACCAGAAAGCATCAAGCAAGGACATGCAGGAGAATGCTGACAGAAGCAGAGACGTTAAAAGGCGAAATAAGACATCAAAACTATGAAAATCATCAGAGAAGAACTAGAATCGATAGAGCCAACGTTTGTTTAAAAATCTCCCCATTAGAAACATATAGGTCAGTGTTTGAGTTTATGATAAAATGTGCTTCTATGTCAATAATTTGCAAAACAACACTGAAAAACTAGTAAGGTACAGCAAGAAATAAATCAGTGTGTGTTTTTGTGCCCATCTGGAAAATTACACTGATGAAAGAGAGAAATAACAAAGTTGTAAGGATCTGTGCTTGCCTATAGTATAATTTAAAAGTATAAAATTATATTGTTTTTATACTTTTGCTTATAGTAGTATATTCTTGTACTGAGTATGGGCAAAACAATTAAAATCTATTGAGCAGAACTTACAACGCATTTTAAGATGCAAATTTTGCATTTCAGATGTAAAATTATCATTACAAACTCCAAGTTGTAAACCATTTATGATGGACAATGATAGCATTATTTTTATAAATTATCTAAAATGACACATGATTAATTAGCTGATTATTAGTGAAACAACGCTAGTGAAACAATGAAATGTTGACTTCCAAGAAAACCAGGATATGAAATGCTTTTAAAGAAAAACTTCATGTTTTTGCTGTAATTTTCATCTCTGGATATTAAAATCATGTTTGCAACATAACTAGAATGTTCAGAGTGAGGTCCCAAGTAGCATTCATAAGCAATTCATCGGCTGCCCCTGGGGACTGGGGGGAGGATATAAAATGCTGTAAGCCACAAACCACAGAAAGGAAAAACTTTACCAAGAGGGTGAAGAAACATTACAGGTTACAAATCAGCTTCAAGTTTCCAAAGGAAACGTTCTGAGCCCCTGGGGGTGGGGTGGAGGAATTAACCGGATTGAGTACAGCGATGCAGAGAACCCAGTGCTCTCCAATTGGGTTCCAGCACTCATATTTCATCAGATTTCCAAGCCCTTCCTTATCTATAATTTAAATTTGGGACCCCTTAGACTTATTTGCAAATGTTAGTAGTGCGGTTAGTCAGGTTTTCATGTTTGCATAAAATAGGCAGAGAATCCAAATTATTTTAGCGCGGGAGCACGCGGACACAACAAGGCAGGTACAGAGGCGGGGTGCCCACTCCGGTGGTCGCCTGGCCTAGCTGCCACCCCTCGGCGACTTGGGCTCCGCCAAGACACCCGCCGCCGCCGGGTCAGCAGGCGCCGGCCCACGACCCGGAAGTGAAGCCTCCGCCGGAAGTGCCGCCGCCTTCTTCCCCACGGCCCCGTGCCGACGGACCCGTCCTGTTGTGTCGCCCCCTCCCCGGCTGCGTACGTACCTGGGATCGCGGTGAGCGCTTCTCTGTGGCCGGGGGCGGGGACGCCGGGGCCCGCGGGCGGACGAGC